CTGAGCCCACCAAAAGTCCCAGTCTGCAAATGGTGCTGCACCAGTTGAGTAGTCCTCGACTTATGACCAGTTGAGTAGTCCTCGACTTACGGCTGGTTGGGGGGGGGCGTGGCATTAAAAAGGTTGAGAACCACTGGTTTAAAACAATATGGAGGATTGGGGTTTTTTTTGGCAGGGTGAGAGATTAAAGCTTGAAAATCCGATGTCACATTTGATTCAATCTCATGACATGTGATGCTTCTGACAAGGGACACCACTATTGGGTGAAGTTAAGGCATCAGTTGGCCTTTAACCCAGCCTTGTTGCTTCTCACCTGTCTCATTGATTATTAGTAAAATGAGTCTCTGTTAAAGAAACAAAAGGATTTTTCCTTCTCTCTCATTTTGCTTTGTTCTTCTCTTTCTTCATGATGAAATTTGGATAGAGGCTTTTTCGATCTTGTATATTTCTTAATGAATCCCATTTTTCCTTCAAATACAGTTGGGCTAAGCCATATCCAAGACAATTATATCATGAATATTTTTTATTAATCTGAGATTCTGTTAATTATCTATCTTCTTTCATCACTCCTACTGAATTCAAATATCCAGGAGAAACTCATTCTCTGTTCCTGAAAAGTCAAAACTACATTTTTCTTGCCATCTGCTTTGCTCCTGACTCTCAAATTGATCAATTACTGTTACATGAGTATTGGTGAACCTTAAATGAAATACAGTGGGGAAAATGACATATCAAAGATGTTAAAACAGCCAAGAAGTATACAAAGGGCAAAATTGTCCTCTTTCTGGTGCCCTAGAAATAGAACTTTCCAGTCTGAACGATCCTTATTAAACCAATTGTCTAAATTTGGAGTCAAGGAGTTCCTTGTATTCACATGAATGTAGAAAAAAAAAAGGCTTCAGGGAAAACCAAGTTCTAGTTTTGGCCTTTCCTTTCATGTTGATGATTCCTTAGCCAAGGAAAAAAAATTATTCCAGTATGGCAAAAATCATTACTTTTTAAAATATTTATCCGGTCCAAGTTGCATTTCGCTGAATGTTAGGTCTGGACTCTGGAGAGTAATATCAATACACATGCAAAGTATATGAGTTCCATTGGGCACTGCTGGGCTTCAAGCTTTAGTAACGATGATTTAGACAATTGATTTCCTGATGTTTTACCAGCAATGGTGGCTGTCATCTTCAGAAGCAAGGTGGTCTTCTCAGTCCACAGGCAAAGAGCAGGGACTGACTGGGCTCCTGTGTAGGACTAAAGCCGTGACCCCCAACTGGTCATAAGTCGAGGACTACTCAACCGGTCGTAAGTTGAGGACTACTCAACTGGTGCAGCACTGTTTGCAGAATGGGACTTTTGGCGGGCTCAGCAGGACAGAGACAGCCTGGACAATTCCTATTGGCTTTTGAAAGCCAATAGAATTAGACTCTATTCAAGAGAGTCTATTCTATTGGCTTTCAAAAGCCAATAGAATAAAAGGCAGGAACACAGCTAAAGAAAAGGGGGGAAAAAATGGCGGACTGCGTTGTTTGGCGACCCCCGCGAAATGGTCGTTCGACCCCAAATGGGGTCCCGACCCACAGGTTGAGAACCACTGGACTAAAGACTGCCATATAGAGTAGGGACTGCCTAATCCATCTTAGTCTATCTCTAGCTTTCTAACTTGTCTAGACCATGGTCACTGACCTTGAAGCCCAACAGATACTGGCCATGGAAGCTGACATCAATATATATGTATTCTTTTCTTTGATGTGTTATTCTAGTCTGGCTCCCTACAACAGGAATGATTGAATTGGTGGTGTCATTGGAGATGAAATGTTGACTAGAATTAGTGGTGCCCAGTTCAGATCCATGCTTGTGTGACCTTGTTCAATCATTCTCTCTGCAGAATCCTTGTGCCCTCTGAGCTTGGCTGTTTGCTTGCAGATGTTTCAATACCTAACTAGGTAACATCAGAGCTCAGTGCTTGCAAATGGGCAAACAACCAAGCTCAAAGAGCATGAAAGATTCCACAGTTCAACCTTGAGCTGCATGTATTCTCTTCCATTGGCATTCTGGGTTAAGATTTGGGAAACTTTGCATTAGTGTTAGATGTGAAAGACCAGGTGAAGGTTCAATTTGGCTAATATATTGCTGAAAGCCTATGCCCAGGAATCTTAATTAAGCTGGTTAGAGTTAGATAAGGGTCAATGGTAGTTAAAGGGGGGTTGCTTATGACGATGTAGTAATTCTAGGCCAATCCCTCTTTTCACACCTCCTCCTGGTTCTGCTAGTCTTTTTTCTACAACTAGTCCTCCAGTCTTTCTTTCCCATCTCCCCACATACCTGTCAAGTGTTTCGGTTAGGATGCAAAAAGCAAGGATTCTTTGGGCTGAATTTGCCTGAATTGCTTCTACAAATTAGCATCAAAACAATAGCGAAACTCTTTGGTTGTTATTTGGCTCTGGCACATGGCCAGTCCTGTCATCCTTTGCAGCCATGCCAATTTCCTGGAAGGAAGAATGGAATTTCAACAAGAATCACAATGAAAGAAAGCTGCATCTCCTTTCTTAGACAGGGTTGTTTGGGAGTTTTGCATCTGAGTTTCCAGGTTTGGGCTGCGGTCTTTGTTTTTCGGTGTCCTCTTTGCTCTTTTCCTACACATTTCTGGCACGTTTCTGTGCTTGAGATTGACAGGACTGTTGCACGATGAGCTGTACAGGATAGTCTCTGCTTCTGTTTTTTCCTCTTCTCAAGGGCTACATGTGGTGTTACAGGCAGCTGAAATGCATTTGCAGGGGTTCCCAGCAAAACGGGATGTGGGGAAGGGGGAAGAGAAATTTTGGCATTATGTAATTCTCCAGTAAAATCCCTTCTCAGCTGTGAACTCATTGGGTGGCCACTGGTAGTTGGCTGGCTGCAAATCATGAAGAGTCAATTTGTCTGTGCACTTGTGGCCCATTGCTCCATTCATTAATAGGAACAGGACTACAGTAAATTAAGCTCTGATCCATTTCCCACACTGAGTCAGTTCTCAGTTCAGATATGTATCCTCAAAATCAAGCACAGTTAACCACAATACATGACTTCAGTTGTATTTTGCATGAAGCATCTACATTAGAAGGTGGAGATGCAGGGTTAGGCACTATACCCCTTTACACACACAATCCTCCATCTTGTCGAAGGAGATTCTCAATCACGGTTTTCCCAAAGGTGTTTTTCAAAAGGCAACTGGACTTTCCTAGTTTTTTTTTTCCTTGAAAACGTTTTGTTTCTCATCCAACGAGCTTCTGAACTTCTTCAGAACTGAAGACGCTTCTTGGATGAGAAGGAAAACATTTTCAAAGGAAAAAAAAACAAGAAAGTCCAGTTGGTTTTTGAAAAGCACTTTTGGGCAATCCTCCATCTTGCTAAAATGTGTAAGAAGCTGTGGTTCTTTAGAAGCTAGCAGCACTCCTCCCCAGGGTCATTGAAGCTCAAGCACATTTGGAGGCCCCCTCCTAAAAGCAAGGATAACTTGCATTAATAGCCTGAGTTGGCCTAATATTCTGTCTTCAGCAGAGCTGTATTATCTTAGTCCTCAGGATATCCTGTGAAAGGAAAAATGAAAGTATACAATAAATTTCTAAACAGGTGTAACCTCCCATTTCCAGACATCTTGGATTTCTAATCCCAGAAGCCTCAGCTGCCATGGCTAAGATACCCCTCATCCTTTAAAAGGTAACCAGGCTGGAGGAGAAGGCTTTCCAGAGTGATTAAAAATTGAGGCCAATACATACCAAGGTCCACCAAGATCACATTCCTACAGCCCCTAAGGTGAGATTTAGGCTCCATTCATATTAAAAAAACTCTTCTGGGTTTGAGAACTTGGTTAAAAAGCTCAGCTTTGGATACATTTAAATGTTTATTTCCTGTGGGAACTGGATTCTTCCCTCTCTGATCCAGAATAACTATTCTGAGCCAATTTTTTCCCCTTGATAAGCCCAACTTAAAGTACTTTCTAGCTCTGAGATCCCAGAGAGAAAATGCAAACATTGTTTCCTGCATTGATGCATTTTTTCCTCCATTGTCTTTTATTTATTGAAGTCAATGGCCTGATCATCAAGAAATAATTGGGGTTAAATTTCATTTGAATAGAATAGAGCTGGAAGGGACCTTGGAGGTCTTCTAGTCCAGCCCCCCCGCTCAAGCAGGAGAACCTATACTGTCTCAGACAAGTGACTGTCTAGCCTCTTCTTAAAAATCTCCAGTGATGGAGCACCCACAATTTCTGAGGGCAAGCCATTCCATTGGTTAATTGTCCTCACTGTCAGGAAGTTTCTCTTTAATTCCAGGTTGCTTCTCTCTCTGGTCAGTTTCCAACCATTGTTTCTTGTCCTGCCCTCTGGTTTGGCTAGTTTTATTTTTACCACTAATGAATTGTTTGGGTCACAGAGATTGGGACAAGTTCTAAAAGAACTTGTTTGGTTTGCCTGCCAAACCTCTTGCTTCCATATCTGGTCCTCCCACAAAAGGACAGGGAATTGGAGATGGGAAGACCACTTATTCTCGAGACCCCAGAGAACTACATCCAAGCTAGGCAGAGCCCACCAAGCGAGCTGTACCAATGGCTCCACTCAACAGGAGGAGAGTTTCTGCGTCACTGCGATAGCAAGAGTTGGACACGTCACATAAGCTTGGCTCCTCTTTGTGGCAACTTCTGCGCCCGGCCAAATCTCATTAAGATTCATCCAACCTTCCAAAGGTTGAGAAACAGACTGAACTAGACACAGCAAAAAGTCGGGGAAGATCTGGCAGAGGTTTTCTTGTCTCCGGGCCTTTGTTCCCATCCCAGCTGGGCTTGATTAAGTTCTCTTGGCATTCCGGCACGTTTGTGAGCTGCTCTTTTCCAGCTCGGGGGCCTGGCTCAACAGCAGCCCTTCTTCACTGAGTCAGCCTGGAGTTGCAAGGGTGGTGGTGGTGGGGGGGGAATCTTCATTTTTCCACCTCTGGAGAGCCCAGGGAGGGAGGGGGCGAAGGAGCCAAAAGTCACTGTGAGCTGAGTTCTCCTGGAGTTCTAAGGATTCCTCCCGTTTGCTTTGCAAGAGAGATCGGAAGCAGCTTTTTTCTGTCTCTCCCCATTCCCTGCCTGCGGCTTCTTGGAAGATCAGAAAGAAAGGGGGGAGTTCTAAAGAACGTGAAAGTTGGAGCTGACAGTTGCCAGATCCAACGGTGACGTAGGCTGCAAGCTCGCTCGCTCGCTTGCTGGGGACACAGTTTCTCACACGCCTCTTAGAAACATGGCCAGCTGTGTGTAGCACCTCCAGCAGGTAAGAGAAATAACTCTCTCCCAGCGTGGTTTGCAGTTAGCTTTCTAGCAACTGTATTCCGGGCAGCAGGAAGTGTCCCTTTGCTTTGATCCTTGTGAAGGAGCAAGTGGGGGTTGCTAGAAGGCCCCTTTGGAGGGGCAGATTAGCAGCTCAGCAAAAACAGATGAGCTCAGAAGTTGTAACTTTTCTTTCCTGATGTGCATCTTGGGCACTGGGTTCTTAAGCTGTTCAAAAATTCTCCCTGTCTGGAAAATGGTTGACACACAGTTCTGCTGAATGTTGGGAGTATATGATGTGTGTATGTGCTGGGGGAAGAATTGTATTTACTAAAGACCCACAAGAGGGCCCAGGAAGATGTGGAAAAGTCAGGCACTCCTTCTTGCATCTTGGACTATTTCACAAATACATCCAGATGTGTTTTACGCACAGTCAGTCTTATCTAAAGAGATTAACAGAGCAACTCTGCAGGAAAAGTGAAGTTTTGGAACCAGATGGTTCAGTTGCATCATTCTAGAAACACCCCTCTCAAGAGGAAAAATTGTATATTTTGTAGGATGTAGACTTACTATGTGCTTTCATTGCATGGATTTCCAAGAACATTGTGGCAAAAGGTTTGTGGGACCCATTTTAGGACTTTTTGTTTTTGTTGGTGAAGCTCGTGTCTTTTCCACTGAAGCTTCTAGCCATAAATCATCAGTTGGTGAACTCCAAGTTCTTCTTAAATTCAGGTTTCTTGGTGATCAAGCAAAGCTTTTTAAAAAATTGGCTAAAACCATCTAGAAGATAGGCTCCTGCTGCAGTTTATAACTTGGCTAAGTTCCTCAAGTTATTAGAGATGATCTTTTCTGTAGAAGTTAAGTTCTATAAGCTATGAAATCATTTCGACCTGACATTTTAGCCTTTGAGAGGTTGTTACTCAAATTATTTCAAGCGCTGAATTATCCAGATGGTTCATAAATGGCTGGATAAATGCTGGAGGGCAGAAGAACCTCACAACTTCTCATCTTACATTTATGCCACACAACAATAAGTTTCTGTTTCTCCTCTAATAAGAGTCAGCAAACTCCTTGTGGTCTTGTGATTGGATCTGCATTGTGGAGCTCTTTCCTTTCAGTTTGGGATCTAAGGGTTGCCACCATTAATTTAGTCTACGCTTTCCATCAGTACAGGTAGCTCAAACCTAAATGTTTCTCCTCCTCCTTGGTGGCAAATACTAGCTATTCCATCACTCTCAAGATACATTGGGATACAGCTTCCCACATCTTCTCCCAACATGGAGAAGCCTGCTCACCCTACACCAGTTTCAAGAGAAGATGGGACCACCTGATGAGGGAGCAAGGAAGGAAACAAAAAGCACAAGTGCACAGGACTCCTTCCTTATCTGGAAACATGAACACAAAGTGTGTGACAGTGGAGAAAATTAGTGCACATCTCATTTCACTCCAAGACCGTTGGGGCAATCATCTTGTGACTCCATCAGAAGGATAGGAGTTGGAATATTCCAGCCCAGTTTGTCCCCCCCCCCTCCCTTCATAATATATTGATTATGTCAAGTGTCAGGGCACCTATTCCCTTACTTCCCATCTGAAAATCATTTAGCATTTCTATTACTGTAATTCAAGTTTAAAACTGAATTTCACTGGTACAACCCTGGTGTGGGGACCACGTTAGGCTCTAACCCTGATATTTTTGCCCACCAATTCAGGGTTAGAGCCATTTTAAAACATTTTTAAATTGTTTACCTCTCAGAATTCAGTAGCAAGCTAAATTGAGCCAAATACACCAGCTTCTGGTTTCTCTGTGGTTTGAAGGGTTGGTATTACTTTCAAAGCCATAGATACTGCATCCAGTTTTGGTCACCACAATGTACAAAAAGATGCTGAGACTCTAGAAAGAGTGCAGAGAAGAGCAACAAAGATGATCAGGGGACTGGAGGCTAAAGCATATAAGGTATATCTAGTTTAACGAAGAGAAGGACGAGAGGGGACATGATAGCAGTGTTCCAATATCTCAGGGACTGCCCCAAAGAAGAGGGAGTCAAGCTATTTTCCAAAGTGCCTGAAGGCAGGACAAGTAGCAATGAATGGAAACTAAGCAAAGAGAGAAACAACCTAGAACTAAGGAGAAACTTCCTGACAGTTAGAACAATTAACCAGTGGAACAACCTGCCTCCAGAAGCAGTGAATGCTCCAACACTGGAAGTTTTTAAGACTGGACAGCCATTTGTCCAAAATGGTGTAGGGTTTCCTGCCTGAGCAGGGGGTTGGACTCGATGACCTCCAAGGTCCCTTCCAACTTGATGATGATGATGATGATAATGATGATGATATGTTGGACCAGGGAATATGGAAGCTTCTCATTCTGTATAAGCTATTCCTGCCTGATCCTTTGTCTCCACAATTAGTCCTCAACTTGTAACCATTTGTTTAGTAACCGTTTTAAGTTACAACAGCACTAAAAAAAAAAAAATAACCAGTCCTTGCATTGCAGTATCCTAAGGTAACATCATCAAACATGATCAAAATTTAGGCATTTGGCAACTGGCAAGTAGCTATGATGGTTGCAGCATCCCGGAAGAGAGTGCGGTGTCTCACATGGTTAGAAGGCTGGGTTGACAATTTGCAAGCCTGTGTTTGAAGCCCGAGTGCTACTGTGTGTCAGAGTGAGCTCCCGTCTCTAGCTCTGGCTCCTGCCCGCCTAGCAGTTTGGAAGCATGCAAACCCAAGTAGGTACCACTCTGGGTGGGCTCATTAACAAGGACATGAAAGCAGCCCCCCAAATGAGCATCCCTTAGGCAACGCTGATGTCACTGGCTAATCCTTTCACCACAGAAGCACCTTGGTGCTTCAGACATGGAAGCAATAGTAGTCATAGTAGTAGCATTCTGGGCTCACGTGATTGCCATCTGCAACTTTCCCAGCCAGCTTCTGCTAAGCAGAGTCAATGGGGGAAGGTAGATTTGCTTAACGACCCTTAACTTAGCAACTGCAGTGAATCATTTACCAACAGTGGAAAAATGGGTATAAAATTGAGAGTGACTCATATAACAACTGCTTTGTTTCGTAGTGGAAATTCTGGTTCTAATTGTAGCTGTAAGTTGAGGACTACTTGTGTCTTGTTGGAAGTGAAATCAAGGCGGAAGGCTGAACCCGTTTATTTCAACTTCACACCATTTTCTTTGACTGCCAGTTTTCCTTATTCATTTGCAAATCTCCCCTCTATGCGTGGACAGTGGTGTGTGCATTTTGGTATCCCTTCCGTGAAACACCTTTTTGTTCACTTTTCTCAGAGAGACACTTTTCGCAAGTCATCTTTCTATCACAGAATGTGCTTTTATAGTACTTTTTAATAAAATGCATTTTTGGGGTTCCTAGATAGTTTTTGCATATATGAACTCGGCAAGTTCATATAAAAAGTGAAGCCAGTTCATTTCTCCAGGAACTGAATCCCAATTCATAGAACAGTGGAATAAGGAAAGGCCACCAAGATCTTCTGTTCTAACGCTCAGCAATGTATGGTTAAATTGATCAAGCCAGCATTTCTTGATCTTGATCTTAAAATGTGTGCACTTCAGCTCCCAGAATTCCCCAGCCAGCATGGCTGGCTGAGGAATTCTGGGAGTTGAAGTCCACATATCTTAATGTTGCTGAGGTTGAGAAACACCAATTTAAGCCATCCATTAAAGGTGGCTGACCAGTCTTTCTTTAAAAAATGTAGAAATTAAAAACCACGGGCCCCTTAAATTGACGGGTTTACTTTACTATAAGAAAGATTTTCTTCTTATATTCAACCAAGATCTAACCAGCTGTAACTTCGATCCATTATTTCTGGAAAATCCATAACAGTAAAAGCTAGCATTTTCTTGACTGTGGCATTCTCCCACAAAAATATTTCTTTTCCCATTGTATTCATTTATAGCTACTTTTATTTATTTATTTTTAAAATTAATATACTTTTATTTAAGATGCATTAGATTCCCTGTACAGTACTCCCCTCATTTTAGAACGGCAATATAGAACGTAGTTTTAAGTAAATAATTTGTCTTTGCTGCATAGTTTACACGAGCCAGTTCTTCAAGTCTGTTGAAACGTTTGCTTCTAGTTGATTTTGACGCTGAGAAGAATTTCTTTGGTCTTATCCAGAATGGACTGTCTTCTCAGAGATCAGATTGTTCTTGTTAGTATGAAAACACACAGGAGTTGGGGTTTTTTTTTGCTTTTAACACTTTTGAAAATGTTAATAGCAGGTGGCAAAGCAAATCTGGCTTTGAAGAAGTGTATCAAGATCCAGAAAATGAAGGCATTTTTGCCAGAAATCAGCGCAAGTCTAAATGAGAGTTGCTGCTGAATTTGCCTTGAGGAAATTTAAGATAAATATTTTCATTTCCAATGAAGTGTGTGCTGTCCAGCAGGAATTTTCGTAATGGCTGAAAGAAAAGCCAATAATTTTCAAAAGGCGTTCCATTCATTTCCAAAACCAGATTTGACCCAAGTAAAGCCGCTAAACCAAACTGAAAATGGAAAGAATTTTTCTAAAATAAAAATTTCCCCAAATTACAAAGGAATATTACATTTAAAAACATTCACAAATGTCTTTTTTTTTTTTTTTTTGCTATGGAGGGCTCATTGTACAAGGACAGGCAAAGCCTAATGGTGGAATCTAGAGAGGAATCTTCCTGGAATCATTATGTTGCCACAGGAGATCGAAGTGTAACCCCGCTTGAATTCCATTAATTCTTAACGAACGTCAATTTAGTGCTGACGGTTAAATTGACTAGATGTTTTTGTATAAGCATGACCAATAAATCAGCTTAACTGGAACTTATGGTGTCGTCAAATATTGGGACACTGCTATCATGTCACCCCAGCTTTTCTTCATATGTTTTAGCCTCCAGTCCCCTAATCATCTTTGTTGCTTATCTCTTCAACTTCCCTGTGATGGCTGCCATCTTGACTTTTTAAACTTTGCTCCATGGACCCCAATTGCTATGTATGTAGCAA